ACTGCCCTAATAATTTTGATATACGGACAATGAGAGTCCGTTTCTCGGGTACCTTTCTTTCGAGATTTTCGTACCCAAAGCCCGATAGTACAACTCATCGACGTTGCGGTCGGAGTAACCTATCGGCTGCTCACATGAATTCTCAGGTATAACGCGTTCGTCTGTCTGACGCGTTTTCCTCTGAGTAAACATTGCCTTGTTGGCATCTACGGGAGTCACACGTTTGGAATCACACCTTTGTGAGGGTGAAACTTTAACGGGCTCCTGATTTTTTGCACGCACCGCCAAGCGGGCCGTTGCAGAAACCCATCCGTTAGGAGGTCGTATACGACCCCCAGTCCGGATGTTGGCTTGAAGCTCGTTCAATGATCTCCAGCTTTCCTTATCAAGCGCTTTTCCTCGATTCTCGGGTAGAGCGCCGATACGATCCTTCAGAGGAATCCTAAGCTTGGTGAAATCCACACTGCGGTGTGGCTTTAACGGAGATTCGGGACCTGAAGTTGACGAAGGCTGGAGAGCAACGTCACCTGCTTTTGTCTTAGGCGCTGATTTGGCTTTTGGCACCCAAACTCGCTTGGATCTCGGCGATCTCTTAACTGCCTCTTCTTTTTGCATTTCTCGTGCTTTTCGCATAAGGGCTCGGGCATGTGCAAGCAAGGTGCGGCGCTTCTTGATTCGCTCCTCGAGGGTGGAGCGGGTCCTCTTGACACGAACCCACTTGTTCGTTTCTGTTTTGGAGGAGGAGTTGGTTGTTCGCCGTTGTTGTTCCCGGCGTTGCCTGGATTTTAGATCCACATCATAGCGGATCCCGTCCATTGGCTCCAAAGCCTTGGCCAACTGACGAGCAAGGCGTTGACGCCGTCTTTGGCGTGCTCTCTTTGATAATGCTAGAGCGTCTTCAGAAGCCATCTCCTCGGCGGAGGAGGAGTTCGGATCTGCGGTCTCGACCACGTTGGACGACGCGGGGACGTCGCGTGGTGCAAGCGCAGCGGGGGCAATGGGATCTTGGATCTTCGAGCCGAAGGTTCTGCGAACATTTCTGGAAGAGGATGCCTTCCTGCGCCTGTTCGGAGAGGCGGATCTGGAGGAGGAGGAAGAGAGGCCTTCTTCGAACTTTTGCTGATCGAACTCGTATTCGATCTCTTCATTCACCCGGATCTTGAATGCCGGTTGCGTCACGACGGCCTCGGCAGCGAGGCCGTTGGCTCCCACTGTGGTCGCCAGCTTGTTTGCGTCGAAAATTGTTGTATTCATTGCTGTATTCATTACAACTTTAGTCGTTACAATGAAATCAAAAAAAGATTGTCTTTTTATAAGACTTTTACACAATGAAAACAAAAGTTACAACTCTCGTCAAAACAAACGCAGAGATCGTTTATCGGTCTTCTGCTTGCGTGGGTCTTTTGCCTGTGACGGGGACGACGATATCCGTGGACCACCTGGCACTCAGATCTGTTCTGAAAAATCGGACAGAGCTTCGTCGATCCGCGTGAGATCTAGAAGCCTGAAGCGTCTATCTCGGCTAAAACGAGATATCTGCTCTTCTTAGTGATTACCGGCGAAGGGTAATACTAAGGAAAGGGGGAGACGGGTGATGAAGACTCTGATGAAGACCTCTCCTCTGTTGAAGCGCTCGACCACTCTTCACTGCAGCAGGGCTTCGCCAACTTCTCCCAAAATCCAGATGTTCAAAAATGAGGCATAAGGGGGGCTATTTATAGGCAATGGGAGCATCTAGGGTGCCTAGACACCCCTGGGGTGTCTAGGAAAAGCCTAGACACCCCTGGGGTGTCTCGGCTTGGCTGAGACACCCCTGGGGTGTCTAGGCTTTTCCTATAGAGTGATCGAGACATGAAGGGCATTGTCCTTTTTGTGAACATTGCCGGGTTCCCGATTGGTCCGGGTCTTCGTTGTTCCGAAATCCTATCAGCTCACGTAGTTCGTCGATTCACTTCAATCGTTCATCAACGTCAATTGGACTCCTGTGGATCGGATAGTGACGTTCATCGTCGCTCTTTAACACTAAATCGTTCGTGGAGACCTATAGGCAATTTTCGATGCCTACACGGGTCTTCGTTGTTCCGAAATCCTATCAGCTCACGTAGTTCGTTGATTTACTTCAGTCGTTCATTAACGTCAATTAGACTCCTGTGGATCGGATAGTGACGTTCATCGTCGCTCTTTAACACTGAACCGTTCGTGGAGACCTATAGGCAATTTTCGATGCCTACAGGGACAGCCGGCTAACTTCTTTGGAGGGGGAGCTTGAGTCCGAGAGGTGGCTCAAGGAGGCGGCTGAGGAGGACACTCGATCGAAGACCCTTCCCTTTGTTTAACCTAGGTTCTTCTTGGTGTCGATAGAATGCCTCCCTAAATGTTCGTGTCAAGTTTGTTTTCCGTTGACGATCCGAACACTTCACCTCGTTGGAACATGATATCTTCCTCTTGATTGACATTGAGGAGAACTTGCGTGACAAGTTTAAAAATAACTCTTAACGAGTTTTAGAACTAAGAGCGAGTTAAAACTTTGTAAAAGAGTTGATTAATTTAACCGAAAATCAGTTTCAAGGCAAGAATAAACTCCTTGTTGCTAAAATTGAAAATGCTCTCGGTTGAACAATGATGAATGCTGGACTTCTTCTCTAAAATTCCGATTAGAAAGATCCTCTTTTCAAGATCGCCTCCTCTCCCCCAGCTCCGATCCTTCCTTTTTTAGATCCAGCGGTGAAACCCACTATTTATAGAGGTTTAAGGGGTGTAACCGTCCCCTTAAATTTCTCCTTAATAAGGGTTTATGGGGTATAACTGCCCCCATTAAGTGGGAAAACGGTTTTGAAACCGTTCAGGTTCTGTTTGAACCAGTCAAACACGAAATTCGCATTTTGGAATGAACTCTGCGTCTTGATCGTGGGATGCAGAGTTGAGCTCTGCGTTTTGAACTGAAAACGCAGCAATAAGCTCTGCGTTTGGATCTGAAACGCAGCGATGAACCCTGCATTTTGGATTAAAAATGCAACAATGAGCTCTGCGTTTGGATATGGAATGCAGCGATGAACCCTGCGTTTTGGGCTGAAAATGCAGCAATGAGCTATGCGTTTGGATCAAAAGAGATATTGACTTCCAATCTCTTTTGTTAGAGCGTTGTGAAGATCGTCATTTTGTAATCTTCGCTCTAGATCCTTGAAGTGTGAGAATCGTCAGATTGTAATTTCCCGCTATGAAGGCTGTTGATCAGAGCTTTCATCGGTTGTCGTAACGGTCGTTGAATTATAACCCTTATCGATCTACGTGAAAATCTTTAGATTGTAGCCTTCGTCTGTTGTCATTAAAGTCGTCTGATTGTAACTTTCATTGTCGAGTTGTTGATGTGGAAGCCGTCAGGTTGTAACTTTCATCATTGGTGTTTGATGGGGATCAGCTATCTGTAATGTTTTTAGACAGCCTACAGTACCGCCTTTCGAGTAGACATGAGGGAATGTCGACTCGGCGAGTCGACTGAGTTGTCGCCCTTGTTGGTCTTCGGCCCCCAATTTGGATTGGAGCATTTACATGTAGAAGTGCAGCTATCCGTTGTTAGCAAATGGTCGTACTTAGGTGATTGAAAACACCAAAACAAATTCGATTAGGCGTAGTGTAAGATACATGTCGACTTCTCTATAGTAATTCAGGGGTTATAACATTTTTATTGACTATAATTTAATTACATTGAGAAAGAATATTAGGACTTGTACATCCACATGTCATTAAAAAATTTATTGGGTAAGACTATATAGATCCGGATGGTTGAGTGTTCTAGCAATGCTCCTACGGTCCTAGGTTCAATTCCATGCCGAGTTATCAAAACAAAAAAAGAAAATTTGTTGGGTAAGCCTGTTTGGTTCTTATTGTGATAGAGGAGTTGTCTAGAACACTAAAAAAGAGAATTTGCCCTAATTCTTTTGCATCTCGATGATGACTTAATCATAAAGAGGGAAAGAATACTGGGATTCTGACAAGTCCACATGCCCATAATTTTTTTTTCTTGTTTAGGATTATTTTTATCAAATTTGTGATAGCACAAAAACAAACCAATTAATTCCTAACAAAAACTTATGTGAGCATGATGCATTATCCTCTTGCTTTCCGCCTATCATTCTGTATATATTTTGGTTCAGTAAACAACTTCTTTTACTCTCTTTTACTTTCCTCTTCTTTTCTAATAATTGTTAAATTTTCTTGAGGAATAATTTTAGTCTTATTTATTTATTTAAGAATTGGTTACTCAGAAAATGGAGAAAACCAAGCTAAATCTAGCTGGAAGCAATATCCAAAGCTAAACCGACGACCAAGAAGAAAACTCTATCCCATAAATTTTCGAATCAAAATTGTTCCGACTCCAAATCTTGCCTCAGCGCAGCTATTGGTTCGGCCAAATTTTTAGAAATCCTACAATTTTGGAACAAAAAGTAGGTTTTTTTTTTGACATTATAGGATTTTATAACTGCCATTTGGTTTAACTTTTTTTAAGAATATATTTCTTAAAAGCTGACATGGCAGCCCAATTTATGAAAAGCCCAATTCCTCTTTTTTAGTTCGGAATTGGGCTAGAAAGCTGACAACCATGTGACAACTCATCATTTCCTCTCACAACTCCCTAAATTATTTGGCAATAAAACAAACATGAGTTTTTGATATGTTTTTCTATTCTTTACTTTATCATTCCGTATCAAACACAAATTATAGATTCCTTTGATATCCAATTTTTTTTTTAGAAATGATTATTTGTCTTGGAATCCATTTCCATAAATTTATGGAAGTGAACCAAACAGCCACTAAGCTTATGCGGGATTCTGTTAGCTTTTTAGGAACATGATCAGCAGCACGTGCGCGTCTATAATGCGCACGGGTGTACCCGCGACCCGGTCCCCCGCTAAACTGCGCCACGATGCGCACTCAAGGGTATATATCCATTTTATGGCATCATCAGCGCTCGTTTTAGCTCGGAAAGCCTTATCCCCTCCATCCCCATCGTACGCCTCTCCAGCACACGCGCTTCGCGCATTTTAGCACGCAACCCAATCCAGCGCGCTATTAAAAAAAAAAAAAAATAAAAAGGGTGGAGCAGAGCGTAAGCGTAGACGACCATCCTCTCCCAGGACTCCTTATCTCTCCCCCTCGAATAAGATTCAGTGGAAACTACGGTTTCGATCGTCGGAGGCAAAAACCCTAGCTCGATGTGGGGGAACGGAGATCGATTCTATTGGGGGAGGAGGAAGGAGGGAGGAGGTTGCAGAGGGATCCTGGTGGTGTTCGCTTGGTTACGGAGCGAGGAGAGGAGTTTGAAGCCCTACGTTGATCTCTACGGATCTCTTGGATGGAATTCTCTCGTTTGCCACGTCGAACTTCTTACTCTGTAAGCGCTTAGAGTTTCCGATGATTTTTTATGTAGTTTTTTTTATTTTTATTATGGTGCTAGATTTATTTATGTGGAATCCTAGCTCCGTCTGAGTTTGTTACTGTGTGGAATTGGTATTTTAGGGATGATAAATTTTTTTTTTTATCCTTGTGAGAAAAATATGTTTTTTTATGCAGCGAGGAGTTGATTGATTGTAATTGCAGTGCTGAATAGCTTGTTGGGATTTCCTCAAACAGTTAATTAATACTCCTTGACGGCTTGACATGTTGGGAACTTTGAAGAGAGACACCAGCGAGTGCACATAAGCATATATGTATGGGATATGCAGCAGATATCATTTATGTTGAACGATAAGTATATCTGTGATGTCAAGAGCTGATTTAAAGTTTGAAAGCTGAAATTACAGGGTGGCCTTAGTCGAGGAAATCTTTCGTAATACTTTCTTGTATTGCGTTTCTTGAACATGTTTAGCAACTCATGGTATCACTACAGTAGAAATAAGGTAGAGTAAGGATCTAGAAACTAGATACATGAGTTACCACCAAAGGGAAATTTAAATCTTTCTTTGAAAATGTAAAGCGAATGGTTTGCAAGTTAGAAGAAGATGATGGTGGATTGAGGAAGTCCACCTGGTAGTTAAACCTAGAAAATGATGTGGTTGTATTTTATGTCCGATTGCATCCAGTGGTTGATATATCCTTTTCTCATAGCAAATACATTTTTAGAAAGAGACGATTCATCTTATGACAAGTGGGGATCTAATTAAGTTAACATAGTTTTTTTTTCCTTCTGTTTATGAGATAAACAATTTTTTTCCTACTAGAGGATCCAATGAAGTTACAAAGAAAAGGATGATGTAAAGGAAGTACCCTTGATGCCTTTTCCATAGCAAATACATGTTTTAGAAAGAGATGATAATATTATTAAGGGGTTTTTACACATTGGTCCCTTTAATCTCATATTTTTAAATTAGTGCTTATAATCATTGAAATTACTGTTCCGTTCATCAAATCCTGTAATGAGTACCCTTCGTAAGTTGCTGTTTTGTTTGTGAAGAACATACCATTAGACTTAACAATTTGATTTTGATATTGCAGAGTGCAGACTATGTAGGAAACTTGCATTGCCAATTTGATCGACATTAACTCTTACTTCATGAAGTATATTTGTTCTCTCGGTCTTGTCAATTTTATACAAGTTATAACCCTTTGAACAATAACCAATCCGTGAACATCTTTCATGGTGTTTCCTAAAACTTAGTTGTCAATTCTGGTCATTATTTGTCAGTGAAAAAATTTAGATTGCAAAGTAATTTGAGCATATTACACTATGAACAATAACGTATTGGAGACTATGCATAAATAATATATCTTTTTTATGAAAGTCATCTAAAGGTATTATACCCATAAAGGATAACATAATCGAGATTTTCTAAAGTGACATACTCGTGGGATGCTCCGCAACCCCTTTCTTCCTTTCAAACTGTGGTCGAGCATGCTCTCACCCCCCCCCCCCCCCCTGGATGGTAACATCATTGAGAGTTGCGAGAGTGTCATACTCTTGTTGGGTTCTTCTCAACCTCTTTCCTTCTACAGTGGATTGTTGTGGGGTTTTTTCCCTAGGTGTTGGGGGTGGGGTGGGGGGGGGGGGCTGGTGCCTCCTGCATGGGTGCTGATGTGATACACATTCAGCCCTTCGTCTTATTTTAAATATTCTGATCCTGTTATTTACCAAAATCCCTTCCAAACAACTCATCCGAAAAGAACCTGTCTCTTCCTCCCCAACCCCGTGATCCCAAACTAATCACCTCCTCCTTCCGATCCTTGCTGCCTTGCCATTGGTATCACTCTCCATCTTTAAAAACCTATTTTGTCCCCACTGCCAATATCTCATCTGTTATACTTGTTGCCAAAACTATGCTGCTTACCCCTCACTTTGCCTTGAAGCGCAACAACGTCGCCTATATCGTCATTGGGCCCTCGACTGCGGCTGGCATCATCGCCGACTTCGTGATCAAGGCTCTTGTTGGAAGATGAGGAGGTTTGTGGGGCGGGGGGGGGGGGGTGTATTTTAATAGGGGAAGGACTGGATCTTATAAAGGTTTTGTTGGAGATGTTTTTCCCCTTTGTTCTCTCTTTTTTTTCCCTCTTTTGGGTATTGGCAGAAAGAAATATCAAAGTTTAAATAGAAGGTCTAGATACGCGTGACATCAGCTCACCAGTGAAGGAATTGGTGCAACAACTAGCCCCATTTTCCCTATATACACCGGCAGATAACTGCTCTCAATCTTTTCCGTAGTGGTCACTGTGTGCAACAAATGCTCAAAACACCTTTATGAATTGATACAAGGATGATGATTATTGGATCTAGGGGATTAAAATGAGTAAGACTGCTATTAGACTCATGTTCAGATTCATATGAGGTAGCATTACAGTTTGTTTTCCTTGAGAATTTAAATTTTCTTGAGCTCTAAATATATCGTCTTTTGCAGATTTAGGCCCGGAAAGGCATTATCTCTAGCATCTGGGATTCTAAATGAGCTAGTTAAGGTTAGTACCTCTTACATTGTATTTACTTGGTTATTTTCATTGTGATAATTGGTCCATGATTTTGTAATATCTTAATATGCTGTGAATGCACATACCTGCATTTTCATAAATTATGTTCCACCCTGCATTTTATGAACATCAGCTGTAGTATAGTTGTAGGACCTTCAGTAGCCCAGCAGCCCATTCTACCAGTGGGCCAGGCCTCATTGGCACCTTGCATTTTCTTTAGCCGCATGACACGGGTGGCAACCATCTGCTTTATCCAGATTGGTCATCGTCAATCTTCTAATAGATTGGCACGTCCTAATTGTACGGTTAGCCATCAATCAGCCTATTAAATTTTGTTTGACAGTCTTGTGAATTAAATTTTTCTGAGGGAAATAAGAAAACTGAAATCTCGTAACTCTGATTTTGAGGTGGCTGATCATTTGTTTGCATTGTCAACATGCACAGATCAAATAATGAGGCTATCATCTTTAGATGGTAAGTTGACTGTTGTGCAAGATTTTCACGATGAATTTGTCAACTTCACGTGATTATAGAAGATTTTCTGACTCACTTTTGAGAATTTGTGGTGGAAGTAAAATTATTATCAAGATGAATGGGAACACACTGTCATCCTTTCTTCTACCTTCAACTGACTGAAAGTAAACATTGGGCAATTACCTTTTTTTTTCCTGATATTTTCTTGTCAACAGGAAGTGAACGTGAGGCCGGTACCTATTGTTCTAGTATCTTTTTCTGCAGGAGCGAAAGGCTGCATGAATAAGGTTCTACAGGTATGTCTTTCAATTTGCATTGAACAGTCAAGACTGCACTGGTCTTACTTTCTTTTCTTGTGTGTTCCTTGAGTTGAGCTAAAACATAATTGAGTAGAGAGAGTTTCCTTTCTCTATTTCTAGATTGATAGAGAAACTAATGCATTATTTTTTTCCAGTTGGTTGAGGGAAACTCTGAAAGACGACTTACTAAGGTATGCCAAATTTTATGTCTACACAGTTCTTTGAAGGGTATTTTGTGGATCTTCTCTTTGAGTTCTATGAAAACATCCACGCATGTATCTCTATCGTCTTGAATAGCAGTCTTGTCTCGAATTATTTTCCTGTAGATTCAATCATTATGCGGTTCACGCTTGTCAATAGACTTTAGCAATACAATGTGTTGTACTCTTGATCTCTAGACTTAAAACTCATTACAATTTGCTTTAAAGTCTTACAACGCCTAACCGACTAATTCTTCACAGTCACTAATTCTCAGAGCTAATTATTCATCTTGTTTTAATTTTTACTGCAGGATGATTATCAGTTGGTGAGGGAATGTATCTGTGGACAAATTTACGATTCAAGTCCTCTAGACTTCACTAGTGATTTACGCACTCAATATCTCCTTCACCCATCCATCCTGAAAATGTCTCACCCACCAAGAATAGTACCTTGGATGGTAAGAGGCTTTGTATCGGGTCTTGATGCTTTCTTCCTAAACAAATTTGAAGAACAACGTGCCGAGTATTGGCAGACTCTGTACTCCTCAGTTGTAAGGATGTCGTCTCATACTCAGATTAATATTTCCAACTTTTTTACTTTCTTATTCATAAGGAAACAATTTGAATGACAGAGCATGGGACCATTTCTCCTACTTTGCTCAAAAGATGATGACCTTGCTCCCTACCAAATTATCTGCAGTTTTGCTCAACGCTTGCGGGACCTTGGTGGTGACATTAAGCTTGTGAAATGGAACACGTCTCCTCATGTAGGTGTGTCTTTGACTACACACAACCACTTTTGCATCACTGTGATAGCTAGTACCATACTCACATAATGCATATGATCAGAAAGAATCGCAAAGACTAGCTTTAAATACATCTAAAATGTGAACCTGAATTCATATTTCAATTTTAATCCTACAAAACCCACGAGAAAAAAATTGTTAAGAATAAATTTTTTAAATCCTTTCATATATGGCAGTAGAGAGGACCTTTTCAAACAACAGAGTTGGGATTACTAATTCATGTGTTTGCAACTTTGCATGTCTGATTAAGGAAGTGCAGATGCGTGTGTATGTTTGTGTGTGTGTACGTTTACTTTAAGCAATGTTAAAAAAGGTGCAGTGAGATGTGTCTTGAGGCACCCAAACCCTAGGCGTATGTTGTAACATATTAGGTGCAAATGAAGCACACTAGCATTCACCTTATGCTTCGTTTTTGACATTTTAAACCATGATTCTGATTCCCAAATTGAATAGGGTAGGCAACTGGAAATATATGTTTGGTTAAATATCTAAGTGTCTTGTTCTTTAAGGTTCTGATTGGGAGCTGGGGAGGGGAGGGGAACCAAATGTCCAAATCACATTGATGGGGATGAACTTTTCACCCCCCAACCCCCCCAAAAAAACCACCTTCCCACCACACACAAGCATACCAACCCAAAATAAAGTAAAAATCCCAAAATGAGGTGAACTTTCCCTCCTCCTGCATCCAATCTGGGTGTAAAGAAAAGAGTAAAATGTCAAATAATGCTTGAGCTTTTGGTAGAGGTTGTTTAGGGCTCTAAGCTAACACCTACTTGGATTTATTTTATCTTCTCAAGGACCCAGGTCTGTCCCCTTTCTCTATATACACATAATTGAGCAGTATGGTTTTCATACTTACAAACGTGACAATTGGAGGCTAAGATTCCTTGTGAGAAGAAAGCAACCAGATTACTCATTTACAAGAAAACTCAAGGTAGAAAATAGCAAAACGCAAGCTCCTCAAGCTATGAATCTCATAAATCAGTGGTTTTGTCTTATAATGGACTAGTGTGCACCCCGTGCAAAGCACGTCCCCCTCTTTTTAAGCACTGCATTTTGAACTTGCCTCCCTCTAAGTTTTAATACATTTGATTTAATTATTATTTGCTTAAAATTAGAAATCATATCTACTCCTCTATACTTTAAGAATGATCCAGGTTTTAATACATTTGATTTAGAAATCATATCTACTCCTCTATACTTTAAGAATGATCCAGGTTTTAATACATTTTATTTGTTTTACTATTTATAATACAGTTATATACCGTAGCATAAATAGTAACTTCAAGTATGGAGGAGCAAATTTGATTTACTGTTTATAGTACAATAAATATTGTAGCATAAAAAGTAACTTCGGGTGTAGAGGAACAAATTTGATTTACTACTCATTCTACAGTAGCTCAAGCTATAAATCTCATAAATCAATGGTTTTGGCTTATAATGGATTGTTAAGTCGGTTGGTATACCATTTATAATGGACAGCAATTGCAACGACAGTTATTTAGAGACATGGAATACTAGTATGAGGATTTGTTTCTTAAGCCAGCAAGCATACACCTTTTACTTTCTACTCCGTACATCTTGGAAGATTTAGTTAATTTTGATGGAGTTTTTACAGACTTAAATCAATGCTCCATAGCCTACTTATTTTGACTGGTGCACCTTTTTCCCTTGTGATAATAACATCATTATTTGTTTGCTAAGTTGCAAGGATACGGGCAAGGGTGCGGGTATGTTACATAGCAAATTTGTAAAAGGTAGGGTACCGGGACATGGCTGAAATGGATGGGTGCAATAATAGTTCGGGTGTAAATACACAAATGACTTACACTCTGAACATATATTGTATAATTGAGTACACTCTGAATAAATGTGTGCATATATTTAAAGGGTGTCAAGTAAGTGTCGGTAGGGCGTGTCGGGTACAGGTACGACTTCATGATAGAAGTACTTACGATAGAAGTACCCAGGCAACACATTTTGTTTGGTATGCCAGAATTTAATGCGGTTTCATACAAATTTAAGAATCACATGGTTCCCAGTAATTTTTCTACTAGCGTGACACCTTATATGCAAGCAAATTGTTAAACAACCTATTGACGCAGCTGCAGAAGTAACAAATTTTCGAACCATTTCTGCTACAAAATGGTGCCTAGGTTCTGGGGTTTTATAAATTCAATTAACTACGAAACTTTTTTCAGTCTGTGTAATGTTTCAAGTACCTAACTCCCATTTTTCTATAGCTCATTACAAGTACCACGAAGCAGAATACAAGGCTGCAGTATCTGAGTTCCTCGCCAAAGTAACTATCATCTATTCAAGTAGACAGCAGCTTGCTAAAGAAACTCGAGGAAAAGAACGAGTCAGTAATCCTCGCAGAACTGTAATAAACCCAGACAAGAGCCTTGCTATTGAGCCAGCTGATGATTTCTTCTTACCGAGCTCAATGGAATTCAGTGAAACAAGAGAGGCAAACTCTTCAGCCGATGAACAAAATACAAGCTCGGTTCAGCTTCCAAGCATAAATCCCCATGGAGTTCTCAGCCAAATCCTTTTTGATGTTTGCGTTCCGAGAAATGTTGAAGGTTGGGATATAAAACCAGGCATGTCATTGAATAGGAGGCATAACTTTACTCCTGGCGGAAGGTTAAATCCTATGAAATTCATCCGACGATCAAGATTATAATCTCTTTTAGTCTTTTTTTTTATTTCTTTTTCAAATAATTATTTGAATACCTTGAGGACTACGATTGATGTGAATATGATCAGAGAGGAGTAAGAGTATGGTGTGTGTTGCGTATACATCATGTGTTTTGATGTACATTAGCGTGAGGCTTGTATATTACCATTTTACATTTGTTGTAGCTCTCTACTCGAGAGTTCTGAACAATATTATGACTGACACGTTCAAATGCTATTATGCCATTCAAAAGGCTACCACATTATGACCACACAAAAAAAAAAAAAAAAAAAAAATCAAATAAAGATCAAAACTCNCAAAAAAAAAAAAAAAAAAAAAAAAATCATATAAAGAGCAATACGCAAACCAAGCACGGGCTCATTTGTGCAAAAAATGTAGGCTAGCTAGATTTTATGCCTCTAATCATCTATAAATTTGTTACTATATTGAGCCTAAATTATGCATATGCCCAAACAAGTTACTTCAAATTTCAGCCCACTTAAGCATCTATGCTACTTATTTTGACAGCAAATTCACCAAAAATAAATCAGGCGGTTCCCTTTCCTGGAGTATTGAATTGGAAATACGATAAGTACAGTTCATTGGAGATATTATGTTAATTATACTATGAAATTACATCCCTAATATCTACGATATTTCTGGAGTTTTAGGTGGTGTTTGGTTGCACAATTTTATAAAAAAATTTTCTCAAAATGTCTGACAATGACAATTTTGTAAGTAAAATTTTTTTATAGATTTCCGTAAACTGCGTTTGGTTCTAAAAAAGATTACAGAAATATTTTCTGTAAAGTACAAAAAATATCAAAATTTATAAAAATCATTTTCCTCTCAAAATAGACGAAAATCACCCAGAAATCTGACACAACTTGACACTTTTCTATAAAGTTGCCACTTTTCTATAAATTTAGGGTGTGTTTGGTTCAATTTCTACAAATTATAGGAAATCTTGCTATTTTCTATAAAGTTATGGGCTATTTTCTTGTGTTTGGTTCAATTTCTACAAATTATAGGAAATCTTGCTATTTTCTATAAAGTTATGGGCTATTTTCTTGTTTTGAACCAAACAAGCAAAAATTATAGGAAATCTTGCTATTTTCTATAAAGTTATGGGCTATTTTCTTGTTTTGAACCAAACAAGCAAAATAAATAAAAAACAAGAAAATTGGTATTTTTTGACTTCTCAAAACTTTTCCTATAATTTTTTTTTAATAAATACAAAGAAAACATATTTTGGGTGGAAAACATTTCTTATACTTTGTAGAAATTGAACCAAACACCCCTAGTATCATGGAAGAGACTTTTTTTTGGACGACGTGAGAAACTTGGTTGCCGTACTTCTATGCTTTGACAAGAAGCCCGAGATTGAGCCCTCATACTAGGGGTGCCAAACCGTATCCGTATCCGAGGAGATATCTGTAACCGTATCCGTTAGGATACGAATATGGTTACTCAAATCTATTACCGATAGGATATGGTTGCAGATATGGTTTTGTAGTGAAATATTCCTATCCGTATCCGAAAAAATCCGAATACATATTGGTAATACTCTTATGATAGTTTCGATTCTTAGATTATGGATTTGTGGTTAATTTTGATGATCAAGATGTCTAATTTTAGCTTTTCAATCATAATGAACATATTAACGAACTCTTTTTGTATCACATGACTATATTTTTATGAATACTATCTAGTTTTCTCATATCCTTTTTGTATCCGCATGCATATCCGTTTATATATCCGTATCTATATCCGTAACCGTATCCGATTTTGGCGGATATGGATATGAATTTTTCTTACCGACGTATATCCGTATCCGTATCCGTAGCCGAGATGGGTAAGCGGATATGGATATGGTAAGTGTCATATCCGAGTCGTATCCGCTCCGTTAACACCCCTACCTCATACCATCGGGGAGGGCTTAGCTCTTTCAAGAAAACCCCCATAAATCGGGGTCTATCTTAAGTTCATTCCAATTCCAAAAAGCTGGTAAGAGCATTCGACATGAAAGATATTTTCGGTATATGGTGTTAGGGCAACTGATGTTCAATAACATAACTTTGAAGTTTTTAATGAATAGAAAGATGCCTATAACAATTATTAATGAAACATAATGGTTTGAACAATTATGATTAAAGTGATGGTTTTTGCATAGTTAAAATGGCAGTGATAAAGGATTCATATTACTAACTAAATCCGTCTGTTAAATGTTAGTTATGTTAGAGTTCCTAATCATTGCATCAAAACTTTGAAGTTGTGGCCAGCATGGAGGGCTATAATTTTATATTCTAATATGATCCTGCAGGTTGAGTTTTCTTTTTATAGGCTAAAACATGGAGTTGCATGTCGGTATTAATTTTTTAATCCACATTAAATTCATGACTAGTGGAATTCGAATATAGGTTGCTATGATACTATGTGAAATGAGCCTATCACTACACCCAATTCCGAATTTATGTTGAAGATTTAGGGCTATAGTTTTATATTCATGTTAGTTTCATAAGACACACCTAAACCTTGGGGCTGTTGCACCTACCCCCCTTGAATTTTGTTTATCTCACATAAATCCTCCCCCCCCACCCAAAAAAAAAAAAAAAAAAAAAAAACCCCCCCCCGCTCCCCACTCTGCAGAATCCATACCTATAATTTATAAATAACTAAAATTTTCTTGAGAAAAAAAACTCAAACTTTAATAGAATGAGCAATGTTGCATGTAAATGACAAGTGATAACAAAGTTTGGAAATTTTCCGCTCAAAGACATTTTAGTTATTTACAAATTACGCGCAATAGGGTTAGGTGTGAGAAGCTAAAGTTCACGGGGGTCTTATAAGACACGCTATAGTTTAGGGGGTTACATGGAAGGTTGGGAGGGTTATGTGCAACACCTGTTGAAGTTGAAGGGGTTTTGTGAAATTAACCCTTTTATTTCTAATAAAGTATAGCGTCATTGTTGACGTGGAATCATAATTTTCATCTTACATTCTCCAAAACTAGAAAGGCTTCTAGAAGGGGATGATGAATAAGAAGGCAAACTAAAATTTCATAGATCAACTTTGGGCTCTCAGAACCATACAGATGACTCCAGCACCGTCGGCGTTTTCTTCATGGCATTGACCCGCTTGAGGTTTTCTTTTTCAGCACAAAAGCTTTTGCGAGCAATTAATGCTCCTATTTGCTTATCATATTCTTCAGAACAAATTTTCAAAACAGCCCCAAAAAAATTTTATTTTTCAAAATAGACCCAATTTTTTTATTTACCAAAATAGACCCGGTTTTTGCCATGTGGGCTTAATGACGTTCCTAAACATCCTCGACTGTTTAGGAGGGTGTTAAACCCCAATTAATGTCCTTAAACCCGAAATTTGCATGTCCTAAACAGTCGGGGTTGCCAACCCCGACTGTTTAGGAACGTCATTAAGCCCACGTGGCAAAAACCGGGTCGATTTTGGTAAATAAAAAAAACCGGGTCGATTTTGATAAATAAAAATCTTTTTGGGGCTATTTTGAAAAATTTTTCTATTCTTCATGGTCACTCTTCCGTTTTCTTTTTGGATTTCTAGTATTAGATCCTGACTTCTATCATGTTTTTGTTTTAGGCCTCAATCGAGAAAACATGCCTTTCTATAGTGTCATCCAATTGTGAGTAGACCCCTAGTAATTTTAGTTGTAGTGGATAGACCTCCTGAATTATTCGCCCAAATGCGAATACACCCTCTAGTGAACTTTTTCAACTCTTTTAAAAATAAAAGAAAACTTAGCAACTGGCTGTCCATCCTCACGAATAGTACCACGGGGACCTATCCGCCTCCTTAAACCATTTTTAGAATTTTAAGAGTTAAAAAAAAACTCACTCAAGGGGTCTATTTGCAAAAATAAAACTACATGGGTTCTATTTATAATTAAACCTTTAAACAACTGAATAGATTAGGTGGAGTGCTACAAATATGAAGATTTTACGAGCTTAATATGAAAGTAGAATAGAAATCAGACCAAACACGAGAAAGGTAAAGTATCCAAATTCTATAATTGTGTGAAAGCCATGAAACACAATATGCTGAGATTTAATATAGAGTCACCTTTTGGCAATATCTGATTAGAAAAACGGAGGAAAAAATTAATAACAATTGTGCAATATGTTTTTAGAATTACAATGATTCGGATCATTACTATGAAATCCCTTGAAACTTGGTCATTTTTATAGAAATCCCTTAATGATATTTTTGCATTACAAAATATCTTGCCATTAAGATGCATTTATATTCCAAAACAGCCCTCTTCTTCTTTCTCTTAGGGGGTGTTTGTTTCAAATCCTATAATTTTAGGATATGGATTTCACCATGGGATTTGAAATCCATAGGTAATTTGTTATGGGTTGGGATTCCTAAAACTTTGTTTGTTTCAACAATATTTTAGGATTTGGAATACTATAATTTGTAATATTTTTGTTTGTTTCAAACTTTTTGGAATTTGAAATCCATAAATTATATAAAGCTTTTGAAATCCACCCCACATCCCACCCAAAAAAGAGGATTTCACTAATCCTTAAATATATTACTTTTTTATTATTTGAGGATTTAATATCCTAAAACTTATTTTGAAACAAGCAAGTTTTATTGAATTCTAAAACCCCAAAAAACCTCTTTTTACATCTTAAAACTTGAAATCCACACCATATCCCAAAAAAATAAAAATAAAACAAACACCCCCTTAGCAGCTTTTTCCTTTCTCTCAAAAACAAAATACGTTGAAAACTGAAAGTTATATCAAATTAATTAAGGCTAAAATTGAAGCGTTCGATTTGAAGAGATTACCTTGATCTTCTGCTAATTTTTCTTTATTAATATTTAAGTTTACTGTAAACAGAGAGGAGATGAGTTTCACAATAGTTTGAGGAAGAAGGACAACACTATTAATCAAGGGTATTTTAGAGCAAAAAAGGTAAAAGTTTTTACCACAGAGAGTGTTGTAGTTAAAAAAATAATGTGAGGGAATTTGGGAAGTTGTCAAATTTAAAGTGAGCTCTATAATAATTACTTTTAGAATTATGATCGTGATCCAACATGGACAGGTATTATTATATATAAGAAAATGGTATCTTTACAATCTATGATTCAAAAAATCTTAAGCTTACCATGACCGAACGAATATCTAATCACGTGTGTTACTGTTTCACATCTTTATTATGCGCGGTATTTTTGTATGCAATTTTTTCCTTATTAAAGATGATGACGTA